AATTCCTCGTCGAGGATTCCTCTCTTGGTCTGAGTCGCTTTGTAATCATCTGGTATCTGTAGGGAAAGAGACTGATGATGCTGCTGTCGCAAGAGGCGTAACACTGTGATAATCATGTTAAATGTTGTCCCTTTATGTTCGTAGAGGTATAACATGTTGATGACCAAGTTATGTGATGTTTTTATGTTCTTCATGAACGAAAATGATCAAGAAGATTAAGAAATTCTCTCCATCAAGCAGGTAGAAATGTTTGAATGCCTAAAACATATAACATGACTTCGTCAGGGCTATGTGGCTGATCAAGAAAAATAAAGCTTACTCGTATTAGCCTTCGTGGCGTTGTCTGATGAAACAGCAAGGAAATTGATAGTGCCATGGGGAAGAAAGAAAACTTTCCGCAAAACATGATTCCTGTAAAATCTGATTTATGTTGTTGTACTACCTTGAAATTGGGTTCTCGTAGATACGAGATAAATTATTTCTTTTGAGTTACTGGGCGTACATCAGAGGGAGGCGTTTAACAAAAAGAAGTTTCTTGTGACACAAAGGAGAAGGACAACAATGGAAGAAAGACTGACCTTAGTTGAGCTCCGCTGTTAGCTATATCTTTGACCAATTTTAATTTTGATGTGAAGTAGGATCTTGTTCTTTTGGGGGGGGAGGGGAAGGGGGGGGTAAAATTGAGGTTATGGTGTCAATTCATCTGGTTACCAGTGGGACTCCAAAATTCAAACAAAAGAGAAAACAGTGTTTTTACAAATTGAAAATTGAAGAAGCAGTTCTTAACTTTGACATGAATTACATGGAGCTTTGAAAGGAACAAATCCTGCATGATTTGAAGAGATACACGATTTTCTTCTTTTGAACTTGAAGTACACTTATTTACCAATAACATTTTGTTAGGAGCCAGTTTATGTGATCAATAATTGCATGTATATCATCATTTATTTAATTCTGGAAGCGTTGAATAAGTAAATAATTTTAACCTTTGAAAGACCTAACGGGTGACGAAGGTCCCCTGGATTGGTTTCTTGATTTTCAGATCAGAGATGACAAAAAGGTGATTTTTTTTTTTTATATTTTCTTATTAATCTTTAAGTTGGTACATTCTCTCTTGGAGATACTACAACTTGCATGGTGACGTTTCTTTTCCGATCGATTTATCATCTATGTCGAAACAGTTCTCTCTTTCTTTGCAGCCTAATGAGTAAGACAAAGTATTAATCGTACTAAACAATCCAGTGACATTCGATCTAGTTATCAAGGTCACTTC